TGGGTTAATCTCCTTCCGCAACGGTAGGCACATTCGTGTAAAGATACACAGGAAATCAATGTCTGAAAATTATTACTTCCACTTAAATTCAATATTTGGTTTGATTAAGTTTGAAGATATTTATTCGTGATATTTCATGGAACATGTATTATTGCAATACATTTCTTGTCTAATAATACCGAATAATACTCGCAAGTTATTTAAATTTTACCAAATTTCACGTATTAATTCGCCGTCAGATCATTACTGGGTTAATCTCCTTCCGCAACGGTAGGCACATTCGTGTAAAGATACACAGGAAATCAATGTCTGAAAATTATTACTTCCATTTAAATTCAATGTTTGGTTTGATTAAGTTTGAAGATATTTATTCGTGATATTTCATGGAACATGTATTATTGCAATACATTTCTTGTATAATAATACCGAATAATACTTGCAAGTTATTTAAATTTTACCAAATTTCACGTATTAATTCGCCGTCAGATCATTACTGGGTTAATCTCCTTCCGCAACAGTAGGCACATTCGTGTACAGATACACAGGAAATCAATGTCTGAAAATTATTACTTCCACTTAAATTCAATGTTTGGTTTAATGAAGTTTGAAGATATTTATTCGTAATATTTCATGAAACATGTATTTTTGCAATACATTTCTTGTCTAATAATACCGAATAATACTCGCAAGTTATTTAAATTTTACCAAATTTCACGTATTAATTCGCCGTCAGATTATTACTGGATTAATCTCCTTCCGCAACGGTAGGCACATTCGTGTAAAGATACACAGGAAATCAATGTCTGAAAATTATTACTTCCATTTAAATTCAATGTTTGGTTTGATTAAGTTTGAAGATATTTATTCGTGATATTTCATGGAACATGTATTATTGCAATACATTTCTTGTCTAATAATACCGAATAATACTCGCAAGTTATTTAAATTGTACCAAATTTCACGTATTAATTCGCCGTCAGATCATTACTGGGTTAATCTCCTTCCGCAACGGTAGGCACATTCGTGTAAAGATACACAAAAAATTAATGTCTGAAAATTACTACTAACATGGTACCTTTGTCAATGCTGATATTTGGAATACGTCAGAGTCTAATTTGGGCAAGACTTCCAGGAAAGTTTTGCGGAGCCGTAAGATCGGTAGTTTAAACGTAGGAGTGGCGTACGCGGTACGTGTATGCAATGCGAATTTGTGCACGCGCCGCGAATAAACGGTCTCGAAGTCGTTTCGCCGGTGTCCACCATTTTTCACTGACGAATTAACTTTCGCGATCGACGATTGCAGATGTCAACGCGACGCTTTGTCGTCCGTTCGACGGCGACGTACCGCGCGTGTCTAATTAATTCGCGTTTCATTCTGCAATAACGTATTCCACGTTCAATTACCACGTTCGTCGTCATAAAAAATCGAATGTGCCTTGAAATTGATTTTCCGAATTGGAGAAAAATTAGTTGTATTTTCCTATGTCAGGGAGCGTGTTTCTCTGAATAATTACCTTTTTCTGAGGATTCGTCGCCGTGTGACAGCGAATCTGTTAATTGCGCTGGCGCTGCGCGAGAGACTATTTATCTCACGAAGACGAAGTGTCTTCAAGTACGGCCTTTAAAGCCTCTAAAGTTGAGTCGAACGGTAAAATAACGGGACGAGCGATCGACAGAAAGAGGAAGAGGGCGCCATTAATGGCCATAGCTTCGGAGAAAAGGCTTCGTAGAAAGTATTGTACGATCGTCATACCGAGTCACCCTTGCCAACTCGTGCAGCCCTTTGTCTCTCGATTGGCACGTACTTTGCTGCGTGAAATATTCGAGCATCCAGTACTTGAAACGAAGGGCCACGCACCACCATCGGCGAAACAATGCCGCTGAAAGAACCAAAACATCATTGTTTCACCCTTTCTTTCGGTACTGTATCTCTGTTAAATACTCAACGAGATTGAATACAGGTGTAATAGCGTGTGATTCCGTTTTGCTATCCTATCCTTCTTCGTCTCTCGAGTATTCGACATTACAATTCGTATCTAGCGTTAACGTTCACACGTTCTTATCATTATAATTTAAGAATAAAATTAGATCAAGGGAAAACGTTTAAACAAAGCGAGCACGTCGATTCGCGAGGAGGAGTAAAAGGACGAAGAGTGGTAGCTCGCAACACTCGTGAGGTGTTCGAGCGCAAAATGTGTTTTCCTTTTTCAACGGTTGCTACGTCGTCGCAATACGACGGGAGGAACCATCTCGAAATCGATTACTTCTTCTTGCCAGCTCGGCCGTTTGATTCTTCACGCCTATTTGGCCCTTCTCCCGTTCTTAACGGAACGATTGTCCTCCACAATGGCTCATTTGTTTCTAGATCACGGCTTATAAACCACCGTCGTCGTCGTGCAAAACGGCAGCTGCATCACCAGGCCAACTTACTTCATAATGGACAATAACGATCACGATCGGTCACCGTGTCTCGCTCCGTTCGCGTTCTCCTCGTTTTCCTCGCGTTCCACAGGGGCGGATTTCAGATTCTTTCCTCGAATACGTAACGTCGTTCGTTAACGCGTCGCCTCTGCACGACGTGGCCGTGAAAAATCTCGAGACGCTCGAGAACCCGGATTCATCTTCGTGTGTCGTGCCAGTGATTCCGGTTGGCAATTATCGTCGCGATGGCACCGATATTCGTCGACTCGAACGGTCACGACTGCCCACTACGTTCCTGACGTAATTCCGCCACCGTCTCTTCTCGTCTTTCGCCCGTCACGAGATACACAACATCCAAGTATGTGTTCTTTGCTTCTTTCTTCTCTCGCACGAGCTGGCCTTCCCACTCTTCGTCTATCTTTCGGTCTTTCCTCCTCCGGTTCCCCCGCCAACCCCCCTGCTTGGTCTCGCTGATTGTATAATTGGGAGGCAACAACGAGCTACGTGCGTCACTCCGATGATTTAGCCTCCCCCTTGGCGTCACCTCACCCTCGGCCAACGGGCCCTCGGTCAATCACGTCGTAATTACTTTTAATGCTGGACGACTCGGCTGACACAATATCTAACCCGTCAACGAGTCGTTTCTCTCTCTCTCTCTCTCTCTCTTTCTCTGCCCCCTCTTTCTTTTCCCTTCCCTCGCCCTGCTGTCTTTCACGTTCTTCTTTCTCCTCCTCGTTGTCCGTCTTTTTTCATCTGTCATTTTTATTTGTCCCCTGGTCAGTCTTTCTCTCTCCCTCCCTTCCTCCCTCCCTCCCCCTCGTTCCCATTCTCTCGCTCGGACTCGCGCGTTACGGTCTATCTGCTCGTTCGCAGCATACTTCGCACGACCAGATTAATTGGTAATAGAGAGTGCGACGAAGAGCATGCCTGGCAAATATCGCGATTAATATTGATAGGGCCACTTTGCTGGTGCCATGGCTGCGCGCAAACATCGCAACGAACGGCGGAGGTAAATGGGCCGGATCGAGCGGATTCCAGGGTAGGAACTGAAATCGTCGTGGAAGGTGAGGGTAAATGCAGGAGGGGTGGAGGGGGAATTGCAGGTTTAGACGAGGCGACGACGGAATCGGTAATTGCGCTTGATTCAGCAAAATTCCGCCGGCGCAGGTCCCGGGATGCATAACGCTTCCGAGAAATTTACCATCCAGCTAGGATTTATTTATTTAATTCAGTTTCCGTTCGCGTCTCGTCCGCCGTCGATCTCATCTAATCGGGAAGGAGATTATTTCTGTGTCACGTCGTTGAATATCAGGCGACAGTTCGTAGCCTTACTTACTTTCGACACTCGATCCTCCGCTTCGAAGCAACGCGCGCACGACGTATAAATCGTAATATGTAAGTCAGCTGCCGTCGAAATTGCCGTTTCCTGATTCGTGTCCCACGGATATGGTATCGATTAATTGTCACACAGAAACGGCACATAATAATAATTCTTCCGTCGTTCAAACGGAAGGTGGAATCGCGACGTAACGAACGTCGCACGCGATTATTCAAAGGGAACGAGGAAGGAGAGGAAGGTAGTAAGAAAAAAAAAAGAAGAGAGAGAGGAAAAAAACGGAAAACATTGACGATGCCTCTCGTTAGCTTAATAAAAAAGATAGCGAGCGATTGTTACCGGCGCAATTGGGCACCACGAGCGGCGGGGGAGTCGAGGTGAACGCAGAAAAGGAGTCTTCGTAAGCACTGAAAAAGCGAATCACTGTCGATGTCTCGTCGCGTTTATTGGGATTATAAAGCGTGCAGAGGAAGGAGGGCAGGAAGGAGAGATTTGTTTGAATTATTCAAATTAGATACGAAATTGAATGCGTGCTCTGCTCGTGTGCAGGTAATGACGGCACTTGCATATAAATGGTAATTATTGTCATTATTCTGCCCCGGTCGTTGTGTCCTCTCCTCGCCTCTCCTCTCCACTCCTCGCCGCCCGTTCCTCGGCTCTCTTTCTCTGCCGTGCCTCTCTCTTTCCGTTTCTATACCCGTGCCCGCTGCAATGCCGTGTGTTCCCATACACTAGTTGAGATAATTATCAAAATTGTTTTATTGTTGCTATAATTACGGGGGACATGCCATGTCCTCCCTGGCTTCGGCCTCCTCCTTCACCTCCTCCCTCCGCACCTCTGTTTGTTACTGTCCCCTGCGAAACGCGACCGATACACGCTCGTCCATCTCGTTCCGCACACCTTCCGCACCCTGTCTGCGTATCGTCTGCGTTTCGGCACTCACCTTCTCTACCCTTCTACCTCTCGCGTGAACCCACAATACGGTCAGCTGACGTTTCGAGCCTTTTTCGAACCGCTTCCGAGAAAATCGGCCCCGTAGCTCGCGCCGGCACTGTAATTACCGCGCTTCGCAATGTTGCAATCACGCGATTACGAGCCGAGCCGGAGCGCGGCTTTCGTGCGAATTCATTTCTTTTTCGATGAATATCTCGGAGCGGATACCTTCAACCCCCCACCCTCGTCCCTCGTGAGTTCACGTGCGCGCCTTCGCGGATCGAAATCGGCCAGAAGCTAACCGGCCCCGTGTAATTTTACAAGGGTGGACAATTTTCAGGCTGGAATCGCCGCTACCTTGTTACTACTCTGATTTATCGCGTTATTCGTCGATCTCTCGGCGTTCGTTTTGTCGTGTTGAACAAAGGCGAGGGTCAACGTTGTCGGATAACGTGTTGCGAGATAACGTGAGCATTTTGCGACATCCAACGAATGAGCTTTCCTATTGAAGAATCAAAGGAATCGGAAATAATTAAAAAAATTGTGAAAACTCTCGTGTCTTGTTTTTCGTTCTCGAAAGATTAAATTTTATAAAATTCTTACTCCACGTGTAATTATTATCACAGATTAATTCGCGTACATTGACGACTATGTCCAATACCTTCTTCAACTTTAGGTTCAACAACTGTTCCTACTTTAAATACACTTCGAACAAAGAGCAACCGCTTTTATCTGAAAACGTTTGCCGATGCCAATTTTCATTCACGCGTATCCCGCACGCGACGAGCGCCCGATTAGCCGAAAACAATTGGAGTTTACGTTTCCGGCTTAACGAGCCGGAGAACAATGAAATAATAAATGGCAGGCATCGAACGATCGAGACTCGTGCACCGACTTCCAGTACCCTTTTCATGCGCCACCCTTCGTGCGTTTTTAAAATACTGCCACGAGAGGGTTAATCGGCACGCGTGACCTTCGTGGAGCAGAGCCAGAGTGTCGATGGTCGTTGTCGAGCCCCTCGAAATTAATAATGAAGCCGCTTGCTCGCTCAAAGTCCTTTCTCATCTTCGTTCTAATAAGCGTAAGAGCGAAAGGGGAGGGAAAGGAAGAGAGCGAGAAGGAGAACAAGGCGTATTGTCATCGAGACTGCACCTTCCTCCTTCTCGTCTCTATTTCTTTTCTCTCTCTCTTACTTTCTTCCTTTTGTCCTTCACCGTCTCTCCTTTTCTGTCTTCTGAACTCTTCTCTTTTTCCATTGCAAGCGAGATGATGACCGCGAGAGCAAGCTCTCGGTGAGAAGGACAAAATCATAATAAAGCCAATAATTAAACTACAATATATATATATATATATATATATATATATATATATATATAGGAGCAAAAGGAAGAAAGCTGGCTCTTCTTCTCATTGTTCGCCTCGGTTGAAAGGAACGATAGAAGCAGGATACGAGAACAGTCCTCTGCGAGAGCACGAGGCCCCGCAGGGAAACAATAACGTTGGTAAGGATCGCACAATACCGGAATTATTAGCTTTCCACCGAATTAAAACCGTCTATCCCGTTGCTAGATCTTTTCTCTCTTGGTCATGGGCCTCCCTCGAGCCGTTCCATGTTCTCTTTTCTCCGTGTCCCTATTCTTCCGTGGATATATTTCAGCTGTGTGTTCGTTCCTTTCTTTTCTTTTTCTTCTTTCCGATTTTTCGTGAGAATTCTTCATTTACATTTGCTCCAATTTCTTTAAATTTGCTAGGCTGGATTACAGGCCTGTAAGATATCGGTTCCTCCGTTCCTGAAACAAGGAATGAGATTCTCTCTTGAAAATCTTTATTCATCCTCGGTGCTTTTTCATACGCGTATTACACAGAGATGTAAAAACATAGTGTGACTTATTATTTATGAAAATAATCTTAGATATGAACGTATGACATAACAACTCTTCATTATTGTATATGATTAGATCGCGAATATTTACAATTATAAATGTAAATGAATGAATTAGACAGAGATTTGTTCCGCTTATTAAATACTACAGTTAGTCCCGTATTTTGAATTTGCATTTTCTATATTTTCATATACATTCTCAGCAAATGGAGAATAAACACAGGTTTTTGTTTCTCAAACGGAAAGCACATTAACAGAGATTATTTAAGTTATAAACCGAGACTGCAATTCCATCACAGCGCAAAGAAGAAAAAAGAAAAACGTTACAAAACGTTGAAAACAATTGCTTCCCTGAAAGTAATAGGTTTAATACAAAAGTTGGCATTTCAAACACGCAGCACAACATCGCGTTTCCTAATAAACCGTTACATCATCGTCATCTTGCCACATCTCCGAGGATTCATTTCGATTTGTCTTTAATTCGCTCCGAAGGAGAGAAACGAAGCCTCTTCCCTCGCCGTCACAATACAGCCGCGCTCGATCGCCTAATCGTTTCACGTTCGCGACCGTTTTCCACGCACAATCGCCAACGTCGGACAAAAAAGGATCGATCATTCAATCTCTCATCGTCTATGAACCGCCGGTTCGAAGCGTGAATTCGCTTTAGTTACGCAATCGTAAAGGAATGTCGCATACGTGCGACCGCGGCGCGCCGCAAGGAAGAAGAATCATCGTCGAAGGTCACCGAGGCGTTAAAACGCGTCGTCCCTTGTTCCCTCGTTTCCCTTTCCGCGCTTCTCCCGGGTGAAGAGCCTCGGTGGCGGAAAGAAGAGGCAGAATCGCGTCAACGCGAAAAGTCAGCGAACGACGACGAGCGCGAGGGGATGATGGTAAAAACCGATCGTTTCCCGGCGAAAAGAAGACGGAACGACAAGTTGCGGACGGTGTCGGATGGGACAGGAACGAGGAGGAAAGACAAGGGTTGCGCACACACGAGAAGGAGGTATGACTCAGCCCTCTTTCGCGGTCGCAAAGAGGAGGACTCAGGGTGGACAGAGGCGACGTCGTGTCAAGAGTGAGGAAAAGAGAAAGAGAGAGAGAGAGAGAGGAAAGTCTGTTGTCGGGTGAGGGGACCCTCGAAGAAAAGGTGGCAAAAGGAGGAAACAAAAGGCGATCGCGTATGAGCGG